TGTGCACTTACTCAGTAGGATTTTCCAGCGAACTCAAAACTGAACGACGTGCGTGTGCCTTTCTTGTGCAAGATGCCGGTGATGCAGCCACAGTCCTAAACCAAAATTAAAACAGTTTCAAACATTTCAGCGTCATTACTCCATAAGACACGGGTATAACACATTCAAAATATTTACACCAGAGCAGATATTCATGAACAGAAGCTTGGTTACAATCATAAACACAAGCATGATTTGCATGTAGGCCTATACAATCCAAAAACTATAATTATAAACATGTATGGCTATATTCATGAACAGAGAATATCCTATCACAGTAAAGCTTTGACTAATCATTCTTACTGACATTAGGCTAGTGACATTATAACTCATATTACTAAATCTGCAAAAATGTCAACAATTCTGTGTTTTTCTGTCAATATGGGGTGCTGTGTGTACATTAATGAGGGAAAAAATTTACTTAAATGATTTTAGCAAATGGCTGCAATATAACAAAGAGTGAAAAATTTTCGTACTGAATACTTTCCGTACCCATTGTATATCTCAGTGATTCTCAACTAGGTGGACACCATGGTGTAATCATTTAAAATAAAATTGTTCAGAACTGAAAAAAAATTTAACTTGTCCCCTCAACAACTGTTGTACATATGGAGAACAGTTCTTGAACCTTCTGTAATCATAAAATTAAATCACAGTTAATTATTTTATACTATTGAAGTATCAGAGAACAACTACATGTGGGTGGCTTTGGAGCAACTGATAGAACATGCGCTGTAGCACGACTATATATTTCTTGAAGAGCACACAGTTCGAACAGGTAGTGGTAAGCTGTTCCACAACTTAGGCCCAGCCGCTGCGAAAGCTTGATCACCCCTGCATTGTCAGTGAGATCGTGGGACAGAAAAGAGATATAGATCTCTTGATCGAAGTGATCTAGATGGGTTGTGAGTGACAATTAGGTCAGTAGATTTGGGGGCTTGATTGCAATGAGCTTTGTAACTGATAACTAAAATTTTACAATAAATTCGGTATCGGACTGGCAACCAGTGTAGAGCTCGTAGAATTGGAGTAATACTATCTCGCAGCTGCGTTTTGGACCATTTGGAGATGAGAAATTGAGGAGAGAGGTAGCCCAACATATAATGAGTTACAGTAGTCGAGTCGTGTGGAAATAAAAGCATGAATAACTTTTTCAAAGCTTTCTCTACTTAAAAATTTGTTTGTCTAGTTTAAGACTACTGTCGAGATAAAATCCAAAATTTTTAACGTTGGAGGTAAAATATGGTGAGAGGGTAAATAATACTTAATCCTGCCAGGCAAGTAGCATGATCACCACTGGGTGGATGAAATTTGAAAAAGCAAACACCGTTACACGAATCAATGCAATGCTCAAGGTATCTTCATGATGGAGCACTATGAATAAATTTCTCCGTGTTTCGCCTTGAACTCCATTACTCTCCCATAGTGCTGACAGCTAATTTACTTTCATTATCATTATTTCTTTGTAATATCTAGTCTTTTTTGTCATCTATTCAGGTAACTTGGATACAGGAAAGCACAGAGTAGACAAAATGAATTAGGTTAAATATGATAAAGGGGAAGGTCTTTTGAGGTTTGTCATAATACAGGAGAGCAACAACAAGAAAAAAGAACAGGGAATGGGGATTTAAAAAGCTCTGCCATTTTAATCAATAAGAATGCCTGCAGTAGCTTCAAGCTGGATTGACACTGACAAGGTCTTCACAGGACACCCAGTTCATTAACTCTTCATCACGTTCTTAAAGAGATAGTTCCCTCCAAAATGAAAACTGTCATTATTTACTCAACCTCATGTAGTTCCAAACCCGTATTACTTTCTTCTGTGGAATGCAAAAGAAGAATTTCTGGCTATTCTCAACTGCTCATTTCTATATAATGAAAATGAATGGAGACCAGGGCTGTAACATTTCAAAAAGGATGCAAAAGTACCTTTTGAAGTCATGCGATACAGTAGCCTTGTGTGAAGAACAGACTGATTGAAATTCACTTCAATAAATAAAGCATCGTCAGAACAAAATTACCCCCTCAAACTGCAGGAATAAACAAATCACGAATAAAAACACTAATAAAAACATATCTCTCCACTTCTTCTCAGTAATGGAATATTCTATATTTCATTCTCTTTACAACTCACTGTAGTCAAATCAGTTCTGCTATCGCCACAGTCATACACTCACGTCTTTACATACATTCCTCTTTGTATATGGATGAATACAAATGCAGATCCATGCAGAAGTTACTTTCAAGCTAATTTCAATACATTACACTGTCTGCAACAGAGCTGACAAACAAGTCGATATTAAATTATGTGTTTACTGCTCTATGCTACACTGCATAAAGTACTTTAATAATCAGAAAACACGTTGATTTGTGACATTCATCTTAATGTAGTATTATATTTGTGTGTGTGTGCATCTTTTGCCTTATGTCTAAGCATAACATATTAATCAGAATTGCTACTGAGATAGATGAGGGTGAGCTCAGCAGTGTAATTTCTCATCATAACACAACACACACATAAATATTAATAGCAGGGTTTTTGGCTGGTGGGCATGAATCATTTCTGTAGACAGAGAGGAGCCACTCATGCATGCCCAAAAACAGCATTTAAGAAAGTGCTGAGATAAACAGCAGCGCTGCAAGGCCTGGCAACGGGAAAAGCCATATAATGCTTCCGAGACCTCAGACAATCAGACAAATCAGACATTTGTTGAGCGTACTTACAGCAACTAAGGGCAGCTGCCAGTTCGTATTCATTAAGAGGTCATAGTCATGCTGCCCATCAGCCTGAGCAAACTGACTGGCTTTGACAAAGATATAATTCTTGTGTTAATAAGGAACCAGGACAGTTTCATAAAGTGTGTTCATATTAATGGGATAGTTCACCAAAAAAAAATAAAAACTTCCTGTCATTATTTACAGAATGATGTCATGTCGCTCCAAACCTGTTTGACTTACTTTCTTCTGTGGAACATAAAATAAATCTTTATTCTGAAAACTGCTTTTGTCCATACAATGAATTTTTTTTTCAAAATATCTTCTTTTGAGAAGCAATTAAGAGGCGATAAGCACTAGATGTTGTGTTCCTAAATCCAGCATCATCTTTTTGACACTTAAAAAGTGTGAATGGCACTGCATTATACAGTATAATAAAAATAGCAAAACAAATGACAATTATTTTAAGCAAAACGTTTCACAAAAGGTTTCTTAAGAGCTTCAATGACAGGTATGATGTTAAAAAGACACATTTAAAACAAGTCTTCACATTTATTTATTTTTTTATTATTAAAGTATTAATACACACTAGTTACTTTCAAACATTGGTGTAACATGTTCATAGTTAATGTGATGAACTGCAAATGTAGTTATTCTGCTAGTACACCAGTGTGTACTTTAGGGGAACTAACTTCATACATCCACTAAAAACTACCAGTTGACTACAAATCATTAAAAAAAAAAGTCTCAGAAAAGTAATTTAGTTTTAAATGTAGCTTTCAGATTCCACCTGATATTTTATCTCATGCAATGAAATCCAGTCAATTTTGAATGGGACATGCTATTGCTGCAGATCGGATAGTGGCACTTTGTTTTTAATTTGGTATGTTGGGTTGTATGTGTCCGAACAGGTATATGATCATCAGTATAAAGCCGTATTGGATGGACTGGAGACTGAGAGCATGATGGAAATCTATCCAGCACAACGCTTCGAGATCTTCAGGATGGGAAACGGCACTAATGAGGTCCTAGAGGTGCATGACTTCAAAAATGTAAGGGTTTATGACATACATGTGAAATATTTTCATTGTGATGTGAAAGATTAAGCTCATATTCCTGCAATCTGAGTCTCAGCCTAGGAACTGATGTCAAAATACAGACAGAGCGTTTTTCTTTTTCTCTCAGACTGATGATATTGAATCTCTTTGAAAAGCACTGTGCTAAGCAAAAGCAAACTGGCAGCGATGACATCTCGCATCAGCATTCAGACACACTTGTTGCTGGCCCCATCTTCTTTCTAAATTACTACGGTCAGTGAAGCAAAGCCACAAAATAGATTAGTTTCATTCAAGGCATTGCCATGGGAAACCAGAAAACAAGTGAATAGGTAAAATCATTCAAATCACATGTTGATATAAATGAAAAGGGAGTTCGAGCACCGAGCCCTCTTCGGCACTTCTTGCAACTTCTGGCTCAGGGCAGACTTTGGAATTGATTTTTGTGAAGGAGGGATGTTGCAAGTCATTACACACACTAAAACTACAAACCATCTCCACAGAGCCTGAAGGCTACAGCCCATGAATGGAAATGCAGTGGTAATGCCAACAGAAACACAAGCAAAATCCTTTCTCTACTGTTTTAGACAAGTACTCTGAGTGTCCTCCAGAAACTTAAAAGTAATAATGAGAATTCCACAGCAGCTTATAGGGAAAGCCAAGGAGACACATCGCATAGACTGTGTTATGAAAAAAAAATGTCCTTCAGCATGAGGAAAAGAAATATTCCAGTAATATTTATTTACTGCAATACAAGGTAAGAGTGCCAGTTTTTCCATTGCATTTATTTATTTATTTATTGCCCAGGAATCACTGCATATACTGCATGTATCATAGCATATCACTCAAAAGTTTGGGGTCTTTAAGATTTTTTTAATCCATAATTATTATTAAAAATGTTTTCTTAATAAAGCTACAGAAGTTATTCAGTCAAGAGTAGTGAGAGATTTGTATTTTATTGTTTGGCTCATATTAACAGCATAGGTAGCAGTAGGTACTGTATATCACGCTGCTGTCACTTAATACACAGATCTAATATAAACATGCAATTTCTTTTCCAGCTGTTTACATTCACAGATATAAACGACTATGTTTATGTAAATTATGTGTTTTTGACATAACCTTGTGTGTATTTGACTGTGCAAGCGCAATAAGACATAAAAGACAACTTAGTTTAGCACTCACATGTCGTGTGACAGCCGCTTTCTGTGCACATGCTTCGGATGTGTGCTCAGAAAACCCTATATCAGAAGTTTAAACTGATATGATATAGACATGATAATGAAAACCAAACAAATGTTTTGTTTTGGCAGAGTATCCAAGGTACAAGCTGTAAAGGCACAGCCCTATTCTGGAAAAGTGGGCGGGGAACAGCAGCTCATTTGCATTATCATTGATATACGCACCAAAACAGCATGTTTTTGCTTCCACTCAAAATGGGCATTTTCAAAATGGTATAATAAATGATCTGTGGGGTATTTTGAGCTGAAATTTCACAGACACATTCTGGGGACAGCTGAGACTTACATCTTGTAAAAAGGGGCATAATAGGAGCCCTTTAAAAATTCTAAAGTATCAAGGTTTCCACAAAAATATCAAGCAGCACGACTATTATTAACTTTGATAATAAGAAATGTTTCTTGAGCACCAAAATATTCTTTCAACAACAATTAAATATCTTACAGACCCATAAACGTTTGAATGGTTGCTTGTGCATATGCGACTCTGTATCTCACAATTGCACAATTTTGTTTCTTATAACTTTGACTTTGTCAGTGTGACTTAGATTATTTTTTCTAAATGTAGCAAAGTGCAAAAAAGCTAGAAACAAAAGGGTTTCCTAATGTACAAATGGCACATTTTTCTCCAGTCGTTGCAGTCTTGTAAAAACCAGTTACAAAAGTGGCTAAGAGCAAGGCTTTAAATGATTTTGCCAATAATCACTGTCTCTGTCCATCAGTGTAGAGAACAACAATGATTAGTTTGTCCTACAGGAAGACAAGACAAGCTATCTTACCGCCCATTTGATAATACAAGAGGTCGGTAAAGATGCAGGGAGAATTTCTTAAAGTCAAAGTCCGTTTCTAACATCCTAATACAGAAACAGTATACTGCCAGGGTCAGTTTCCCAGACACAGATTAAGTCTGATCTTAGATCTAGTAATGTTGTTAAGAGCGATTCCTCAGTGCTAATTCGGTTTAGCGCCAGCCCTTGACTTCACCTGCATCCAAGAAGCAGTATTTGTTGTCTCTCAAACCAATAACTGGTGGAAACAGGTGTGGGCATCTACATACAAGTAATGTGCCAATTATTGGAGCAGAGCTCCTTTGCCCTCTTTGCCAATTGCATCATTCAGTGCTTCCATTCGAATAATTGTCTCAGACCATGCACACATTTAATCTGGCTAATGGCAAAGCTGTACTTCAACACTCTTTCTTAAATGACATTCTTTTCCAATTTTTTATCCCTGTAATGAAGAGTCTCTCCATTTTCCAGTTGACCAGGCTCAGCAATAAATGCATTTCATCAGAAGATAGTTCCTTCTTGCGTGCAAAAGCAAACTATTACCAGAAATTGAAGAGCAATTTGTCAATGATTTTCAGCACAAACAATGCACTTTTCACTCCTCTCATAAGTTTCTTTACTAACCGGTGAGTTTAGGTGAAAATGACAAATTTGTTAGTATGCAGTCTAACAGTGTTTATAATAGCACAGAACACATGAATTTATGATGCTTCCTTTAATACTGCAGAAATAATTCAGCTCAGACAGTATACTACTCACTCTCACTTTCCTTATTCTACAACAGCAAAACGAGAGCAGCTGAGGATTACTTAATGTATTCCCGAATGCAGGGAGATATTGTTTTTATCCTTCCGCGTGAAGAGTCTGTAACGCGATAGCCTTTATTCCCCTTCGAAGACTGCTTTCAGACAGTAAAGAACTTTCTTCAGATGCTCCTGCTAAAATGGGTTTTTCTCTTTTCAAGTGTAAAGCAACAAATTACGTATGGCAGACCATCAGCTGTGGCTTTCAGGAAAAAAGCTCCTCACTTCACCAAACAGATTAGCTTCGCAACTCAGACCATAAGTGCTGCAAATCAATGGGCTTTGCCTACATATAATCATGGCTTCGGCGGTATACCTCTCTACTGGCTGGGGCTGTAGACCAATAATCTTGAATTGGCTAGGAAATGATTCCCGTTGCTTTAGTTATATAACATTTGCTATATCTGTGCTGCACTGAAAAGGCTTCGGGGTGTTTTTGTGAGAGTATTTGAGGTCAAATGCTGATTTTTTTTTTCTCAAATCATGGAATAAACAGTCAATCTCATTAACATTATGTCTTTCAAGGGCATCACAGGCATTCGTTTTGCCAAGCACCAGAGATGCTACATCAGGGCTCAAACCAAGGAGCTGCCCAAGCTGGACTCAAAGACCATTGACATAGAGGTATTTTAATCTCATCAAATACATCTTTCAGCGATCTGCTTCCTTTAAACAGGATGAAAAAAAACCACCATGAATTTTGCAACAGAGTTCATCAGACTGTGAAAAATAAAACTTGCTTCAACCATCACCATTTATTTGCAATCCAACTAACCAGCAAACCCACGCCAACTCC